AATAATTTTAATATAATTAAAAATTAATATTCATTATTTCTGTGATATTTTGTTTAACAATAAATATTCGACGAAAGATTAATTTTGCCGAATTTCTTTTTTAGCAAAATTACTCGAATAATATTTTCTCTTTGAATCTTCGAACGTGAATATTTTTAATATTACTTAAACATTGATATTCACTATTTCTGTGATATTTTATGTGAAAATAAACATTCGACGAAAGAGTAATTTTCCGACTTTTTCTTTTATCGAAATTACCGGAAAAATAAGACTTTCTCTTTGAATCTTCTCACACGGATACTTTCTCGAGTACTATTTAAACATAAATATTCATTATTTTGTTTAAAAGCAAAATATCCGACGAAAGATTAATCTCGCGTAAATTTCAATTTTACCACAATTTTTCCCCAATTCGGCGTTCTAAGAACGTAACGATCGTTTATCCGAAGTTGCCCAATTAAACGAATTTTCTCTGTTACGCAAACAAACGTTAAAATTACCTCCATTATTAAATTACATTCAATCGATTCGAAACTGTTTACACGAATCGTTATCGGAGGAAATAACCATTTTCCTCCGGTATAATTAACCCGGAAGTGGTTCTTAATGCTCAATTCGAAAGCGAACGCACTTTGTCTTCGCCGTGCCAGATCACGACCAGTGTCTCTCTCTTGAAATATTATTTAAATTGCTGGTTCGCCAATCGATATGCATAACAGGCTGTATTAATACGTCTCTCTAACAAGATGGGGCAAATAAACGCCACGTTTTCACCGACGTGAGAAAAATTTAATTTTCAAATTGTACGCGAACATAATTTACCCTCCCTTTCCTCTGTCTACCATTGGAGGAGGATCGTGCGAAAAGTGGAATAAAAATTGCATTAACGAGAAAGTCGAACGCATTTCGCAACATTCAGCGGTTGGGAATATTAAAATTGCTCGCAAATTTATTATTTGGTAACTTTTAATTAAAAGCACCGAGTGAGAAGGGAAAGCAGCATCCTGTTCCACTTGTAAAAGTCGAGTTCCAAAAAACTAGTGATACATATAAAAATTACCTGCAATATGAATTATTATATTAGAGAAATTTAGAGCATGAAATTAAAGTAACCTCTTGTTTCTGTATTTTTCACAATTTTATAGAATTAGGTCATTTTTAAAGGGTCAGACCAACTTTGAAGCTTGAAAATCATACCTAAGTTTAGAATTTTTTTTTTTAAGGAAATTGTCTCGATCAAAAATTTATATTTTTCACAAATTTTAAGAAAATTGTCTCGATCAAAAATCTATATTTTCCACAAATTTTCGAGAATTAGGTAATTTTTATATGGTTAAACCAACCCTGAAGCTTGAAAATCATACCTAACTTTAACATTTCTTTTTTTTTAAGAAAATTGTCTCGATCAAAAATCTATATTTTCCACAAATTTTCAAGAATTAGATCATTTTTAAAGGGTTAGACTAACCATGAGGCCTGAAAATAATACCAAAGTTTAGCATTTTTTTTTAAGAAAATTGTCTCGATCAAAAATCTATATTTTTCACAAGTTTTCGAGAATTAGATCATTTGTGATCATTTTTAAAGGGTTGAACCAACCCTGAAGCTTGAAAATCATACCTAACTTTAACATTTGTTTTAAAGAAAATAATTGACTCGATCGAAAATTTTTCACAACGACTTTACTATATCAACTTTATATCAACCCTTTGACTGCTGCTCACTCAGAAGTAAAACGCTCGCTGTATTAAGTCGAGTTATGTCATTTAACACCCACTATGTACAAAACATATTCACAAATCCTACTTCAATTCCTTCCTCAATTTTCTTTTCCAAAAAAATAATTAACTCGATCGAAAAATTTTCACAATTCCCTTCTTCAACCAATCACATATACTTCACATTCGTAAACCAAAAAAATTCTCTCCTTCCCCATAAATACTATTCATATTTACTACATAATTAAGTACACAAAAAACTTTTATTGACACAGAAAAAAGCATTCCTGACACAATTCCCACGTGAAATTGACCCAATTTCCATCCAACGTTTATAACCGTAGGCATCGTTATCTCACAAAAAGCCCGTTTCCTTCTCCGTTCGACGCTTAAAACACAAAACTACCTGTTAAGCCATCAGGATTAATACGTTTCCAGACGCCGGTCTGGAAATTCCCCGGTCTTTCTCAGCGGTCATAAACTTGGGAGGCCATCGAGCATTTTACTTTCAATTTCGATGTTTTTTTCTATGGCCATTGTGCACATCTGCTTGCCATACTTTAACTTTCTAGCCCTTTGATTTCTATTTGACCACGCTTCGTTAGCGTCGAAGCGCTACCCAGATTTGTTACCTGCTGCGCCCATTGTTCGAGACACGCAGAGTTTCCGCGCGCGGGCACTTGAGAGTGACTTGGGAGCGGTACCTAATGATTGCCAATCGCGTTAGATTCAACCGCCTCCCTTGTCGAGTTCGAAAATGTAGTTGACCAACCCGCGTGTCTCACCCCCGCTGAAGGCTCGTATCCGAGGTGTCTTGGAAATTGTCCGAGCCCTCGTTCGACAGAATCCATCTGACAACCGTACGAGTAGTTCGTCAGAAAATAGTCGTTGTGGCGACCGCCACGGGGGGCCACGCACTTAGGCCTGGCGATTCTTGGCCCTCGAGGCGAAGAGTCGAGAGATGTTTTCCAAACATCTCTGGGTTCCTTCGTCCTCGAGGACAAGAGTATCGCCTCGGCAATGCAGGCCCGCGCCCCCACTTCCTGGGACTTTCCCAGGGAAAAGGGGCTACTTAAGGGAGCCCCGAAAAAGGCACAAAGTAAACATGTTTTAGCTGCCGGGACCCCGAAATTGACAGAAATACGAGCAGATAAGTACTTGAAACCATTGTCAGGACCGTACGAAGAATTCTTGTATCCGGAGAAAGTCAAACTGATTCTAATATATTTACTGAAAATTGAGTTCAGCTAGGACAAAATTAGGGTTTCTCCCTCTGGGGGAAGCCGCTTTTGGAAGTACGGTTACAAGTAAAGGTCTTATTGAGGTCTTTAACATCTTCATTTACCTGCTCGTGTTATATACAGATAGAAAATGCAAAAGGATTGTGTAGCTTTAATATTAACATATTTTCCATTTGTAAATGAAATACCATTTTCTACTTGAAGTACCAAATCATATGCTACCATTCGTTTATTGTTGGAACCCTCAAACAGACTGCAACACACGGCCTTGAGTGCCGCAACATCAATCGGTGCCGATTCTTCAGAGTTTAATTTACGACCTCGCTATATCGTGGCCCCAACTATACTTTACACCACGTCACTTCCAAATCGTTAATAGTTATTTGTCCTCCTAAACACGGAGATAGTCCTTGGAGCAACGAACGTAGTAAATTTAGTCGGCACACCGCGTGCAAATTCGACAAAGCTCGAAAGTTAATTTGTAACTACCACGGGCAAGATGAAACTACCCATTGTCGTGTCTACGAAAACCGCGAAGTCCCAGTTTTACGAAAGCCTGTTGCAGAGTAACACGAAACACCCTAAACGAGTTCCGGGCTATTACAAGTTATCGATTCGGTGGATGGGGTCGGCGAACAAAAAGCCCGCAGCGAATTTCCAAAGGGAAAAACATAGGGAGAGTGTATATCTTCGCGTGGTGTTTGGCCGTTCGAGCAATTTTCACGGATACCTTTTCATTTTGCCCTCTGTAGGATGGACAGTAACGAGAGGGGCCGTTAGCGAAGTTTCACGTCGTTCGAAACGAAAAGCAAAGCTGCGTTCCCCTCGTTCCTCTCTGGATCTGTTTACATTGAAATCGCGTGTTTGCGGAATGTCGGTCGAATGTTCCTAAGAAAATTCACCCTGCGGAAAGAACGAAGGGAAAAAGGAGAGAGATATACGCGGCCGACCTTCGCGATCAAACGACAGGTCTCTAGACTGAATATCGATAGCTCGGTGATAACGAGGCTTCCGTGGATGCTCGCGAACATCAGCATGAAATGAACGGGAGGCGCGATAGTCGGAGGTTCGCAAACATCTTGGATTAAAGAATAGATTTTGTGGAGTGGTAGGAGAGCTTCTGGTTGATTAGAAATTTGAAGATCGAGATGAGAATGTGTGCTCAACGTGATTGTATTTGGGGTATTAAATTTTTTAGGTGCTTGGAACTTGGTGGATAGGAATATTGAAGGTTTAGAGTTGCGAGGATTTGTAGATAAATGTGATTTTTTAGTGTTTCGCCTTTCGATTTTCTCAATTTTTTTTTGTGCTTTACAACATAAAGTAAATATTGAGAAATTTTTTTTATATCAAGTTTATTTGCTATCGGTTACAAAATAATAATAAACGAATGATTTAACTGTAATAGCATTGACATAGTGAATTGTAGGTATTTTGTCCATGGACTCGTATCTTCTTTACTTGTCTGTTGGAATATGTGAATATTAAGACGAGATTTTGCCAAAGGGTTAATTTCTTCTTAGGATAAATTTTCAAAAATACTCAGAACTTTTTGGAAACTTATTCATTAGGTTCTATTCAGAATTAAATGAGTGATATAGGCATGTGATATAAACTCAATGATGGAAACTCAATATTTTTTTTAAATCCTGCGTACTTCATGGAAAATTTTTGATATTTTGTTCTAAGTCGTCGAAATGGAGGTTGAACGATGCGGCTGTAGCGTCGCCATTTTGTAAAGAAATTAAACGACAAAATACTTTCATATTCTTCGAGGATAGTATAACAGAGTCCTTACAAAAAGTTTTCGATTGAGTCAATTATTTTCTTAAAAAAAAAAATGCCAAAATTAGGTATCATTTTGAAACCTCAAGGGTAGTCTAACTCTTTAATACACGTTACTTATGCATACGTTTTCCGTAAAACTGGTGAAAAATACAGATACATAAGAATGTAAACAGAAATGCTAAAGAACATAGGGAAGCAATACTACAAAAGAACCGTGATAGCGAACGTGTTAAAAACAAATGTAACCACAGACAAAAAGAAGAGATGCATAAAGTATAAGACGTAGCCAGAAATACTCGCGATCGACTGTAATTCTGAAGCACACGAGCAAACTGTGATTCACTGTACATCAAACGAGACATCAAACCCACTATCACGATCAATAAGAAGGTCAAATGCAGAGACGGATTGAACACAGTAATTAGGTTACATGCAGAATTCCTCGTTCATTGATCGTTCCAATTTCTTAATCCATCTGTTTCAAAGATCTTGCACAATCTTTGGAAAAAAAGAAAAGCTCTCCTCCAAATTTTGCGTCGAAAGAGATCGCAATCTTTAAAAAAATCTCTCCGCCAAATTTTGCGTCGAAACAGACCACGATCTTTAAAAAAAAAAAAAAAGAAAGCTCTCCGCCAAATTTTGCTTCGTAACAGACCACAATCTCAAAAAAAAAAGAAAGTTCTCCAAATTTTGCGTCGAAACAGACCACAATCTAAAAGAAAAAAAGAGAAATCTCTGCAAAGTTTGCGTCGAAACAGATCACGATCTTAAAAAAAAAGAAAGCTCTCCACGAAATTTTGCGTCGAGGCAGATCACATTCTTAAACATAAAAAAGAAAGCTCTCCGCCAAATTTTGCTTCGTAACAGACCACAATCTCAAAAAAAGAAAAAAAAGCTCTCCGTCAAATTTTGCGTAAAAACAAAAGAAAAACACAAAAAGTGACAAAAATATTAAACTAATTTTTCCTCCCAGGTATGCGTGATGGATTCAAGCAACGAGTTCATCGGCGGAAGCGTGATCGTCGGTTCCTGCATCGTCGGTCCTGCAACCGGAACCACATCCGGCATGGAAGGAAGCGGGAATCAAGGAAGGGATCACTGGCTTCACATGACTCAATCACCGAGGGAGACCATCGCAATGTGGCACACGTTGCATTAAAGAAACAAAGAAAAAGAAAGATAAAAAAAAGAAATATCATCAGTCCTCGAGGATTCTATTCCTCGTCTCTATATTCCACAAAAAAGAAAACAAAAGCAAAACGTGACACCGCTTTATGGAAACATGTGAGGGCACGTTCCTCTTTATTTTTCTTTTTTCTTGTCGAATTGCGGCGGGAGGAATACAATCAGAACAGCATAGGATAAAATAATCGGTAAACGGTATATATGTAAACACAACAGTAGCAGTGTTATATGTATATGTGAAAACCGCTTCTATGAATGTAATCGAGACCGCTAAAACGAAGAAGAAAACCGCGAGAAAGCGTAAAACGTTGTTGCCCGGTTTCAACGAGTTTTTTCCGGAAGGATCGATGTCCCTCAATCCCCGTCGAACCTATTAAATATGTCACTGTGCCACGGTTTTCCGTCGGATTGCCGGTGACGTTCGATCGAATATAAGATCCTATAAACGTGTAGGCGCAATGGTATTGTCCTGCGTGACAAACAGCGAAAAATGCGCTAATTTATTAACGAGGAAATCGTGTTGTAACCAATTGGAAGAATATATTGGAGGAGGAGGAATAATGTGACGGAAGATTCGCGTTGTAAACGTTTGTAAGGAGAGAGGCAATCGAGTTCCGTTTACACACACATACACACACACACATGTAATACAAATATGCACAAGTTACGTGTTAATTTTATATAATTTCTTTCTGACGAAGAAGATATTTTATACACAATCAGCGTGACGATTATAATGTCCATTTGCAGTAACCCGCGATAATAGCAGATTATCGTATTCCGAACGATAAAAAAAGAAAGAAGAAGAAAAATACAACATACTTTTGCGTTACAGACTAACCGTGGGGAATTATGTATATCGTCTAAGTTCATTTCGTGATAAGATATTCAAAACGATGATTCGAACCGCAAGTATATGTTAGCGATAAGGGGGGGGGGGGGGAGGAAATAACTGAAGCGAGAGATGAATAATCTGGGAAATAATATGTTTTTTCTAGTCCTAACATGTGATTTTTATTATAGTCTGAAAGCATTGCAGAAATGAGGTATATACGTATACATATGTATGTACTTCCTAGGCCTAAGTCTTGTACTATGCAACAAAACTGACCTCAAAGAAGTATATTACGTGCAAGGGAAGCACCGTGCATACTACATAGTTTACAAACGAACTGAAAGCCTAATGAAAACGATTCTCCTCCGATAAAATATATAGTCTAACCGCGTTATCGTTGTTAATGTCGTAATCACTTTACGAATACACAAGCAGCAACAGAAAAATGCAAAAAAATATCGCGTGTACCGTTATCGTGTGTATAAACGTTCGTTCAGACAATGGAAGTCTTAAAAACTGCGTCGAGCGCGTGAACAATTGCAAAGTGATAAAATTATGTCATACGGGATCCTCTTCCGTTTACTAACTGAAGACAGAATACACAGTATAGTGGAATTTTTTATGTTTCCTTTCACACTTCTGCTAGGCACAACACCGCTGAAGAACAAAAAATTTGAAAAAAGAATTTCAAACGAAGAGAGAAAGAAAGAAAGAACAAGTAAATTCTGCGAAATTAATAAAGGAAGTCTGATTTATACAAAAGACGAAGAAGAAGATGAAATAAAGAGAGAGAGAGAGAGAGAGAGAGAGAGAAACAAAAGAAACCAAATGAAAACGTGAACATTTCCGACCAAAGTTCATCATATCATATATACTGATAATTTTGAAAATTCCAGAGCTTAGATCTATTTATTGTTAATTTAAGAGAGTTCGATTAAGGAACCTGCCGTACTTATAAATATTTTAGGCTCGTACGTGTATTACAGCGATTAAATGTTTCTGATCCGTTAACTGAGAGAAAACCGACGACGATGTAACAAGCGAAATCTGGTGAAGAGAAAGGATATAAATTAAATGTTAATCATCGTCAAGTATGTTATAAATAAGTATAAATATATAAACGAAATAACGGTATATGAATACGTGAAACGTAAAAGTTGGAAAAATTGAAAAAGGTTTGTTGGGAAGAAACGCTTAATTAGATAAGCGTGGTCCGAATCGTACGCTTAACTTATACTTAACAGTATTTCTATTATATTCTATGTATCACAGACGATACGTGGTATTTATATTAAAAAAAAAAAAGACGTATATATATACACATATATACATATTATTATATATAAAGATGTTCTTATATGTATACCATCGTAATAAACAATCATCTTGGGTGTCTAATGCAGAACGCGCTTTCAACATTCTGACATACTCTTGTAATAGCTGTGACGATATCTAACGATTACGTGAACTTTTCATGTTTCCGCATTCACCATATATAATGAAACAGTCTCTCTGTAAACGCCACATTTGTATCGTGTTTCTACCATAGACTTTCACGCGCCGATTTCAGTAATGATCTCATGCGTCGATTACTTCGGCTACTTTTTACATAAATAGACACCCTATTGTCGGACCTGAATTTGCCTTGCACAATACGATTGAACCAAACGAAAAAAGATTCGCGTCTATCGTGAATTTTCAATGGTTGAACCCTTCGATGATAATAGTCGGATTATGATTGTCGTACAAATAATCGAAGAAAGAAATGAAATTTACAGCGTTACTAGACGATCGATAAGCAAGGCAGAGAAACAGTTTCCACAACTGATTTTCTGAACGTTTCGAAGATGTCTCTTGTCTTATTACGTCGTAAAGAATGTACAATGTATCCTAAATGTGAAGTGTAATCGATATTTTCTTGTAATGTATCCTCATCATTCGATTTAAAATAAAGAATTACTTATTTCCGTCAAAGTCCTATATTTCATTTCGTGCATGTATTACGAAGAAAGGTGCAAAATAGTGACAAAGTTGTAAGCAAGAAATCGTACAAATTATACATATATATTGTATGCAGTATTTATTCACATCTTGTTCTTATACAAATCTTAAAACTATCGCTGAGTGTTAAATATATTACTTGCGCGCTATTTCATTTCAAAAATAAATAATAAAAAACATGTTAACCTTTTTATTTATGCGTATTACGAGATTTTCTTTTTCTATATTCACTGTAATTATACACCCGAAATAATATTCGATAACATTAAAATCCGGAATTCACATTTTTTACCATATTATCCGCATTAGAAATATCAATAAAGTCCGTAGCACCTTTACGTCGTATCGATATCGATATATTTGCACAGTTTTTATGCCATTTCACTTTAAGCAGCACGCAACATCCCTTTTCTATATGAAACACAATATTGTTAAAATTTGAAGAAATAATATATTTTATAACAATAATAATTTACATACCAAGTTGTCCTCGTTCATGAGCAGCAGCTAATTGATTAACTACACGTCTTTCTACTTCATATTTGATAGAACGTGCTCCATAATGAGCATCATATCCCTCGGCCAGAAGTGACAGAACTTCTCTATTCCATTTCAACTCTATCTTATGCCTTTCTTTCGCGCGTTCAGCCCAAGCTTCTAATTCTTTCGCCACTAATTGTATTAGCTCAGATTGAGAAAACGGTAGAAAATATACAATTTCATTTATTCTACCTAAAAACTCGTCCCTTCGGAAATGATCTTTCAGTATTGGTCTTACCTATAAAATGAACATTTTACGTGAATAAATTATTACCCATAAAAACAACCAGTTTTAGATATATTTCAAAAATGAATACATACAACTTCGTCTTTAAATGTACGTGAAATTTCAATATGTTCTGGATCCTCGTCTATGTCAGGATTTTGATCGTGTTTTTGATCCAAAATACGTTGTGCTTCATCTCTAAGTTGTACAGCGTGGTCGGCAATTACTTCGCTTGCTAAATTTGACGTCATTATGAAAATTGCATTTTTACATTCAATTGTTTTACCTTTACCATCGGTAAGTCTTCCCTGAAACAAATTCAAATTTTCGTTTTGGCACAATGTTCGGGTATCATATTCGATATAACATACAATGCCAATATAATCGTACTTCGTCAAAAAGTTGTAACAAAACTGTCAGTACATCGGGATGAGCTTTGTCAACCTCGTCAAATAATACAACAGCATTTGGACACTTTTTCAATAGTTTCGTTAATTGTCCACCATCATCATGACCTACATAACTAATTAAAACAATGAAATTAAGTAATATCTCTATAGCATATAAATTACATATACATATCATGTGATTTAGACAAGTATAATATGTACCCTGGTGGTGCTCCAATTAACTTAGCAACTTCATGTTTCTCTTGATATTCAGACATGTCCAATCGAATAAATGTGCCCTGTTTATTTTTATGAATATATGCAGCTAATTGTTTAGCCAATTCAGTTTTTCCAATTCCTGAAGATCCTAAGAATAGAAATACTAGAGGGTGTTTTTCATCTATCCATCCATTCTCTTTCCTCCTGATAGCTGCAGTTATACAAGATATTACAAAACATATGTGTTCATATATTAATTAATAATTATATAAAATCGATCTTACTAGATGCAACAATAGATATCGCTCCATCTTGCCCGACAATATACCTTTTTAAACGCTGTTCTAACGGAAACCTACGACGTTCTTCTATTTCCTGTTTACAATATTTGGTAAAAACATTGATAAAAAATAGTACTGTGTAAAAATCAAAGCTTGACTTTAAAATTATGTACTTTTTCCTTCATTATCTCATCATATTTTACAGCATGTTTCGTAAGCATTTCTTTGAGTTCTCCATCTTTAGCATACTCTACTGCTCGATGTCCTGATTCGTTTTGTATTGTCGGATCAGCTCCTCCATCTAATAATGCTTGTACACAAGCTTTTGAGTCTGCTAATACAGCATAGTGTAATGGTGTGAAACCTTTGAAAGTGGCTCTACTATTCAAATGATCAGAAAACTCTTCCTCCCTTATCATGAGCACTGAAAATTTAAAAATGTATGCAACATCTTGTAAAAAAAATACTAGTGCAGATAATAACTTTTATAATATTATATATGGTAATTAAATATTAACACTACTATAGTGGTATTTAATTATTATAGTTTATGGCTCAATTTTATACCATCTAAAGTGTGCAATCCTTTTTCTATAGCACTTCCATAAACATTAATGAATTCATCTGGTGCATTAACGTCAGCACCATTCTTTAACAAAAGTTTTATGGCTTCTGGCTGCGCACTAATAGCAGCAAGATGCAATGCTGTCCAACCTAATGAATGGCGTGTATTTACATCAATGCCACCTTTTATAATCTAGAAACAAATATTTCATTAACACTTAACATTCTAATAAGATGTTTTCTATGCTTACATTTGTTAATTCTGGAATGTTGCCATATTTTGCAGCACGGAAAAACTGTTTCTCTATTACAAAACATTTATCAAATATGAGTATTTCTATTCGCACAATTATTAATGACATAAAAAATACATACCTGTGTGAAAATTTTTTGCTTCGCATAGAGCTATGGTTATACCAATACCACTTAGTATAAATCCCAAATTTTTACGTTTTCTCTCAATGTCATGTTTATTTAATAATATTCTCATGCGTGTTAACAAAGGACAAATTTGTTTTGACTTGAGCATATCCAAAAATCTATATAATGGGTAAATATGTTTTTGAAATTTCCAACAAAACTGGACATAACCTTTACCATCTTGATAGAGTATATTTTTGATTTCATCGCTTGTCTTTACATTCTGAGTGCTCCACAAAGTCGGTGAATTTTTAGAACCTTTTACAACTGAATAGAACCGCAAATTACACAAACGTGACATTTTTTTATAAATCTCATGCACTTGTACGTTCGAACAATGCGATTTTATGTTATACGATTATATATATTACTTATTACTAATATATCAACGTATAAGTTCATCGAATAACTGCCAACGGTTACTACATTCATACAATAACACAATTTGTGTTATATTTACGTTTTCAGTTACTTTGCTTTAAGAACACTTCAAATCACGCTCCTACAGACCATATGTACATACAAACGCTACATACCACAAAATGAACATTTTACGAAAATTGTAATAACACAAAACGTATGTATAAAAGAGTAAGGCTTACTCTTCTCTATATAAATGCTTTCAATAGTTCACAATAATATAATAAAAATTACAACGTACACATTTTACACATATATAAAATGAAGGAAACATAATGATTAAAATTATTTATTAAAATTTCACATCTTATACTAATTCTAGATCTTATACGAATCCGATATCAATCTTATACTAATTTGATCATATTTCTATAACGATCAGAAACTTATGGTAATATAAATATCTAGAATAAATATTTATTTCTAGAAGAAATTGTATAGAATTTTCAAGCCATTGCAGTATTTTAAAATTTGCTACACGACAGACATATTGATGTGCAAACCAATCATACCCATGCACATAGTGTGTTATATATAAATTCAAAATCCTTGAGAATAGGTTTGTGAAGAAAATGAAATGTAATAGGACAATTTTTTCTTAATCTGCCCTTTATTTATGAATCTGCTAATTTCTTTCTAGCAGAATATGTATATATTGATCCGGCAATTTCGATCTTTCGAGAAACGAAACTTATATCCTTATGGAAGATTCCAAATGCGCATAATTCCAGAATGTTCCAGAGCAACCGACTGACCAATAGGAGTTGTATACCGCAGCGCCATGATTGGTGAATTTTCAGCAGAAGTAGCAGAAAGAAGTAATCGCAGTTACCGTGCGGAGGGCATTTTGTTCAGGCTATTGCGTGACCGAGAGGCGAGAATTCAGCGAGCTCGTGAATTTAACGTATACGATAATTACCAACGCGTATTCTAAATAATTAGTAATCATTCGTATATTCTTCTCGAGTTACAACATTTAATTCCTGATTTAGACGTAACAGTTTACTCAGTGTCGTAAAGAAAACGTTGTCGAACCAGCCTATCAGCCATGGCTGCTATGTCCGTGATCGGAATTGACTTTGGTAACGAAAGCTGTTATGTGGCTGTAGCACGCGCAGGAGGCATTGAAACCATAGCTAATGATTACAGTCTTCGAAATACACCGTAAGTATTTTTTTATGATAATAATCGTTTCCTAATTTTTCTCCATTATGAAAAGGTACCGGTGTGTTACCGACCACTTCATATACTTTCCTTGTCTCGTGATTCTTTTCGTGAAAATTTATGTAAAACATATCAAAATCGCTTGAAAGCACCAAATAATTGAATATGACATAAGTAGCGTGTAAAGTTCAATCATTGCCATTTATGTCCAAACTGTTTTATATGTTGGGTGTTCCGTTTACTTTCACATGACTAAGAAGTACAAAAAACTCCGTAGTGTAGTTGTGATCCACGAAATATTTTTTTTTTTCTCTCGAATTGAAATTTTATTCGGTCATACGAGGCTGAATTTACAATCGATTTACATCAGTATCGACGTAACGAATGAAGACGAAGCGTTATTGCTATTCTGAATTTGTGTACAAAAAGTAAAGGAAGTGTTACGTGATTTTAATTAAACTTGCCGACAATTATATGTACGTTACAATTTTATATTTACTATTCGTATGTTTACGTTTTAATAGCTTTTTGTAATTATATGTGAATAACCCGTCATAATCTTTATATTTTTTTTTCACTTATTAATGTATTTTATGTTCATGTTGTCTTATAGTGAAATTAAATAATTTTGAATATTTTATAACAAATTTTTGCTAAGTGCATCAGTAAATAATGCATTTATACTTTGATGGTTTTTTTTTGGAACACATATAACATACTCTCTAGTAAGAAATATAGATTTTTCAGAATTGTCTAGAAGCAGAATGTATATGTATAATAATGTATGTATACTATTGATGTACACATGCTTATTCAATGTAAATTAAATTTTATCTGTTCAATAGTTTATGAGTGAAATTTGTGTTTCTGGTTAAATTAATGGTCATAAATATTGATTTTAGATCATGTGTAGCATTCAGTGGGAAAAACAGAATTCTTGGAGTAGCAGCCAAAAATCAAATGGTAACAAATATGAAAAATACTATTCATGGATTTAAAAGATTATTGGGCAGAAAATATAATGATCCACAAGTACAGAGAGAGCTTCAGATGTTACCTTTTAAGGTAACTCAACAGTCAGATGGAGGTATTGGTATACATGTAAGTTTCTTTTGTTAAAGTATTCATTTTTGTTATTGTATCAACAATAAAAGTTAATAAATTGTGATCTTAATAACATAATTCTGTAAAAAATATATTTTTATTTTATGAAATGATAAAAATAATTATAATAAGACATAAAATAATATACTAAGGTACTAGAGATTTTTTATAATCATTCGATGTCCCTTAATGTTCCTTAGATTCAACCTGGGCATTTTGCCAAATTTCTCACATTTGTGAGGACTCATATCTTATTTATATCTCATTTAGAGCAGTTAAAACATGATGAATCATATATGCAACTTCACATTAAAAATTATAATGATAAGAATAATCACTAGATAAAGTAAGATATATTTACATTGATTTCTATTATTTTAGGTACACTATTTGGAAGAAGAACACGTTTTTTCACCTGAGCAAATAACTGCAATGTTATTCACAAAATTAAAAGATATATCTGAAACAGCTCTTCAAACTGTTGTTAATGATTGTGTTATTTCTGTTCCTTCATATTATACACAATCTGAACGTCAGGCATTGCTTGATGCTGCAGAAATTGCAGGTTTAAATGTTCTTAGATTATTTAATGAAACAACAGCTACTGCTTTATGCTATGGTATTTACAAACAAGATTTACCAGCTACTGATGCACCACCAAGAAATGTAGTTTTTGTTGATTGTGGATATGCAAGCTTACAAGTATGCATTTGTGCACTCCACAAAGGGAAACTGAAGGTGAGTAATAAGTATGATTAACTGAACTGTAGGTGAATATTTAAAAAGTGAAGTTAAAATACTAAATTCATAATCCTGTTTACAAATATTGTTTAATTTTATTTTCAGATGTTAGCAAGTGCTGCTGACAGTCAGTTTGGTGGGAGAGATATAGATACTATGTTAGCAGAATATTTCTGTAAAGATTTTTTATCACGTTACAATATTGATCCGCACAACAATCCACGTGCCTATGTAAGATTATTATCAGAAGTAGAAAAATTGAAAAAACAAATGTCTGCCAATTCAACGACGCTTCCTCTCAATATTGAATGCTTCATGGAAGAAAAAGATGTACATGGTGAAATGAAACGAACAGATATGGAAACAATGTGCGCACATTTATTTAAACGTGTGGAATCAACTTTGCGCCAGTGTCTTGAGGATTCTAGTAAGTTATATCTTAATCCATATGTATTCAAATTTTCACAATAAATATTCATCAATTTTATTCTAATCTGTAATATTTTTTGCAGAATTAAAACTAGAAGATATTCATTCAGTTGAATTAGCGGGCGGTTCTACTCGTGTTCCTGCTATTAAACGATTAGTTGAAGAAGTTTTTGGCCGTCAGGTATCAACCACTTTAAATCAGGACGAAGCTGTTTCTCGAGGATGTGCACTTCAGTGTGCAATGTTGAGTCCTGCTGTAAGAGTTCGTGAATTTTCAGTGACTGATATTCAGCCGTACCCACTAAAGTTAACATGGGATCGTACTCAAGGCGAAGACGGGTATGTTATTTTATGTGTTACATATAATACCAATAACGTTTAAGAAACAATGTTCTGATTTTTATGGCATCTATTATTTTAGTGAAATGGTAGTCTTTGAACACAATCATCCTGTACCATTCTCGAAGATGTTAACATTCTATCGATCAAGTCCATTTACACTCACTGCCAGTTACAGTACACCACCACCATCATATCCTCAAACTCATATTGGTATGTACTTCATTTTGTTTTTTAATTATGTTATAATATGTCTATAATTGATAATATTTTTACAGGTGTGTTCACAATAAAAAATGTAAAACCAACACAGGAAGGAGAAACGTCGAAAATCAAAGTAAAAGTAAGAGTAAACTTGAATGGTATTTTCACTGTTGCTTCAGCATCACTCGTTGAAAAACGTGAACTCACACAACAAGAAAAAGAAGAAGAAGAGAAACAGCAGCAGCAGCAGCAGCAGCAGCAACAACAAAATAGTATGGATGTTGATCAGCAGCCAGATAAAAAAGATAAGCCTGATCAAGAAGCACAGGCAAACGAACCGCCTGCACCTGAGGTATGTGTATTTCTGATTATTTCACCTTTAATTAAAATCTAACTATGCGTATGTAAAGTTACCTTATACTAGCTTATGTGTAACAGTAGTAAGATTTACATTTTAATACATATATAAAATTATGCTAGCTATATTTGTTTAATGTTATCCTTATTTAACTAAATAATAATGTTAGATTTACAATACGGATGTTTTTAAGAAAATGTTTGGCGCATAAATAACGATCATATTGCAAGAAAATGTAATTAAACGAAATTACCAAATTCATTCTTCCTAGGGATTAACTACTGTAGAAATATAGTATTCATATGCTTTGAGTGTCTGATGCATGACTATGTGAGTTTGTTGTGGTTTAGGTGAGCATGGATAAAACGCGACGGAACTCAGATGCTGATGATGGTGGAAGAGGTGCGAGGGGTTCTGCCCCTACTTACTCCTCCAGGCTTCTCTCTTGGTTCAGCTTGGTACGCGACACACTATCATTACTTGGACCCATATGTTAACTGAAACATGTGACCATAATTTGTGACTTTTGCTTAGATTGTTCTATGGTTATAAATCGTAATGGTTATATGAATAGCTTTCCGTGTGTAAAGGTGGCATAAATTTTTTATTTCTTTCATCACGTCAGCATCGTCAATTATCTGTTACATCAATCATAAGATTTAAATATCCTGCATGATGTAATAATCGCGTCTTACATATTATATATTTTATATTTATCTCTTACTTTGAACAAATTTGTAATCAATACAAGAATATTTTATCACGTTAAATGGATACAAGTCTGATAGTCTTAGATTCACTTTCTACTTTAAGGCTTGCAATAAACTATTTTTTTTTATACTGGATATTTCGACTACATTTATAAATTAATCAGACTCCAAAGATATATGTATGCATAGTATATATTATTTATGATATACTAGAAACTTTTTACATATTGTAGTTTCTTTAGTGCATGGTATTTAGTTATGTTTAAAGTTTTTAAATCTGTGTCGATTTCTTCTGCAAACTCGGTTAATCGTAGCGACGTTATGGGAAAAATAATCAAATTAGAACACATTAAAAAGATAAAATGGTGGTATTTATAAATATAAACATATGCATAATATGATTCTATATAATATTTTAATGCATATGGGTCCAAGATACAGCTGTGTCACGCCGTGCTGTCTGTCTTTGCTCAGTTATTCTCTTCACTGGGTCGCAGAAGGAAAAGAGACAGTAATTTTTAACAATCAGTATGATAAAGTTGCCAAGGCAGGTAATGCGGTTTGGTTTTCGATTCGTGTAACATTTTGTACTAATAATTCTATTTATACTACAGATAGTTACATAATATATGTTATGCTTAAAAATTTAAATATCACGAATTGAAAACTGCTCGCATAAAAATGTGCCTCTCTTTGTCCTCTGCTCATTTCTGTCATCACCTGACTTCCAGTTTACATGTGTCCTTTGTTTAAAATATTTTAATTTTATTATGACATCGTTATATTTATTTTATAAGTTATAATAATTTAATATTTATAAGTTATTGTGAAGAACAAAAAATTATTTCATAAAACTCTTCAGAAATGAAAAATATTTTATATCAACCTATTATTATTTTTCAGGGTGATGATAAAAGTGATGAAAACAAAGGTAAAAAGAAAGTTCCTGTTCGTACTGTTGAGTTGCCTGTGGAAGTACGCGGAAGCGGACTTTCTCAACGTGACTTGGATGCCGCGTTAGAAAAAGAGGTGAGTTGTATTTACTACAAAGTGCATATATATTTATTCTGTACTAACTTACTTTCTGTATATAGTGCAAAATGGTCGTTGAGGATAGGCAAGAAAAAGAACGTATTGATGCTCGTAACGCATTAGAAGAATACGTTTATGACTTACGTGCTAAGTTATCAGAAGACGATCAGTTGGCCACATTTATTACAGAAGCTGACAAAGAAGTTCTTTGCCGCACGTTAGATGATACCGAAAATTGGTTGTACGAAGAAGGTGAGGACTGTCACCGACAGATCTATTCAGAGCGATTAACATGTCTTAAGGTAAGTAATATATAGTTTATATTAAATATCTAATTAAAGGTATTTTAATTTTGAAATTAAATATAACGCGTTTCTTATTAGGCACAAGGCGAACCAATTAAAGAAAGGCGAATGGAATTCGAAGGCAGAGGTCACGCGTTAGAAGAATTAGCAGGTGCATTGCAACTTGCTAAAAAAGGAGTTGATCTCATTAGAGCATCCATTGGAAAGGATGATAAATATTCCCACCTAACAGAAGAAGAAATAAAGAAGGTCGAGAAAACAGTACAAGACAAATGGTCGTGGCTTGAAGAAAAGCGTATGCTTCTTGCCGGTACACCTCGCACGCAACAACCACCAGTCACTATAGCTCATATACGCGCAGAGAAACAGGTACATATTTGAAACACGTTAAATTGAACATATGACTGATACATTCTTTATAAGTTTTCATTGATGTAATTTGTTTGTACTTTACAGTCTTTGGATAGTATTGTATCACCAATTTTAAATAAACCAAAACCCAAAGTTGAATCTCCAAAGGAAGAAAAACTTAAAGACAAAGCAACTGAAGATCAACAGAAAAGTAATCAAAATAGTCAAGGTGATGGTCACCCTCAGACCAATCAGCAACAACAACCCCAGAAAGAAAAGATGGATGTTGAGTAACGGTTATTTTTATGTGTTTTAATACCATTAATGATTAAAATTCATGATTAAAGTAACGAAAATTATTTCATCACGCAAGTCATTTTTATCATGTCACAAAACCGCCTGATATGTTTTAGTTAGCACAGATGATTGTTTCTCTTTTCTTTTCCTATCACAATTATCCATGTGATAAGTTGACCTATTTAAGGATGAATGTATCACTAATTTAAGTATATTGAATTTTGAAGAATCTTTTTTATAAATTGTTAAGGAAACATATGTATAAGTTCAATTAATTTTACGAATATTATTTTGCTTAAATAAAAAATAATA